GCCCTTCTTCCCTCTACTGTTCTTGTGATAGTGAATAAGTTTATGAGATCTGATGGGGTTTCTGCTTTTGCTTTTCCTGATTTTTTTGTTGCCTCCGCCATGTGAGAAGTGCCTTTCACCACCCTCCATGATTCGGGAGGCCTCCCCATCCGTGATGAACCGTAAGCCCAATTAAACCTCTTTTTCTTCGGGTATGTCTTTATCAGCAGTGTGAAAATGGAGTGCACACACACATCGGCACCGTGGGCACACACATGCACTTACGTGCTCATCAGCACCCACAGGCACACGTGCACGCACACATCAGCACGGTGGGTGCACATGCACTCACACGCATCGGCACACACAGGCACACGTGCACACACACATCAGTACTGTGGGCACACATGCACTCACGCAGTGAGCACCCACTCCCGGTGGCTTCTGCTTGCTGGGTGCCTGCTTTGCCCTGAGGTGAGCGAGGTCTGGTGGCAGGCACTTTGGGTGGAGCCACAGTATGGTCCTTAGGAGCCCAGTGTCCCCCATTCCCAGATGTCCTTGCTCCAAGCCTTGGGTCTCAACGTGCTACTACTGCTGGCCTCCACGCCCCACTGGTTGTGGGCATGGCTGTCTGAGCAGGGCAGAGCCACAAGTGATGCAAAGGTGGAGGGCCCAGCCCATCAAGGCCCCTCTGGGACCCCAGGAGCCAGGAGGGCAGAGTCCAGGCGAGCACCCAGCAGCCACCGAGACCCTGAGCAACTGGCTAGAGCGACGGCCACAGCCTTGCCCTGCCCTCTGGAGCTCACAGTCTGGGGAGGAAGATCAAGGTGGCACTTCAATGCCAGGGTCCAGTAGACAGCATCGTCCCAGCACCACAGGGGATTGGGAGGGGGGTGCGCAGGCACCTGGGCCCCACCTGAACCTTATCCCCAACACCCTTCTGCCCACCACTACTGGGTGCCTGAACTGCCACAGCATAGTCAGTTCTTTGGGGCTGGCCACGTGCCCTGGAGGGGTCTGTTCCTCATCTCCTCTGAGCAGGACTCCCTCTGGCAGTTCTTCTGTGTCCTCTGCAGAACAGCAGCCTACTAGACCCCTGAGGAGGCAGGCGAGGGGTGGAAGAGGTGTGGCCATGCCCAGCAGAGACCCCCCTCTGATGATGGCGGGTGCCCCTTCCGGCCCCTCTGGGGCATCGAATCGTCCCTTCCCCCATTTCCTTCCTGGCCATGCTCTCCAAGTCTTGTGTGTAGTGGGGCCTGGCTTCCCTCCCGGCCTCTCGCCCACTCCCGCCCATCTCTCTCTGGTTCTCTCAGGCCTCCTCTGGGCTTGCCAAGAATGTAGGGGAATTAGGGGGAGGGGACACAGGAAATGCCTCCCCTCCTCTGACAACAGCTCCAGCTGCAGGGGGAGGGGTGGGAGAGGGGAGAGCAGAGTGGGTGAGACGCAGAAGGGCTGAGGTGGGGAGTCCGGTGGGGGAGACTCTTCTCCTGCCCACCCAGGTACTAGGCATGGCCCAGCCCCACAGACAGAGCCATTCTTTCTTCCTTACTTTTTATTAGAGACGGGGTCTCACTCTGCCACCCAGGCTGGACTGCAGTGGCATGATTGGGGCTCACTGCAGGCTCTACCTCCTGGCCCCAAGCGGTCCTTCTACCTCAGCCTTACAAAGCACTGAGATTACGGAAGTGAGCCTGTGCGCCCAGCCTCTTCCTCAGTTTAGACCAGTGTGGGCATCCAGTGAGGCAGCTGGTGTGAGACCCGGTGGCTTTAAAATAGGGTTTGTTAGAAGATGAGTTAAATTGGCCCCCACCCCCAGCCCTACCCTCCACTCCTCAGCCATTTAGGACTAGCACGGGCCGAGGGTGGGCAAAACTACTGAGTCTCCCCTCCACTGAAGCCACTCTCTAGGAAGTCTGACAGCCCCGTCTTGCAAAGGGGTTGCCCCTACCCTCATTGGAGAAGCCTGGCCTGGAAGTAAGTGGCTGTAAGTGCAGTGACTGGGCATTCAGGTCCCTCAGAATGCTCTTGGAAGGGGCCACTTCTCAGTTTCCCTGACCCACCGCATACCTTTTAAAGAGAAACCTGAAGATGCCTGAGAAGACAGGCGATGGTGGAGATGTTTAAACAGGAAGCCCTGTCTCATAAGAGGGCGGTGGGTGGTATTCGGTCCCATAGAGGGCGGTGGGTGGTGTTTGGGCTTGGGGGCACCCGGGCAAGGCCTCCGAACCACCGAAAGCCTTGCCCCCCATCCCCCTCTGGCTCTCAGCCCTCCACCCTCATGATAGGCCCCTCGTGAGCCTATGGGGGCCCCTCGTAGACCAGTGGGGGCTGCTGGTCACCCTCTACCCCACCCAGGAAAAGGACAGGAGGTTGCACTCCCAGTGAAGGAGCGGTTTCCAGGGACACCGGCTCTCAGGGCTCCGGTCCTGTCCTTGCCACCCGGCATATGCTGCTAGTGGCACTTGCAAGGGTGGGTCTGGTCCTGAGCCCCCGACCTGTCACCCTGGTGCAGGCCCAGTGACTTCAGTGAATCCCTCCTGTGCCGGTCTCGGACCCTCACTTGACGGCCCTCCTGTGGCTCTGGGACTCAGGCATCCTGGCCGACTAGAGAGGACCCCATGGGAATGGCCCCCCTTCCTGCAACCACCGTTGTCAGGGATCCTGAGAGGATCCTGGGTCCCAGCCTGGGGACTGAGGGAGCCGACACACCTCTTCCAGGTGGGGCTCTGAGCTGCCCCGAGGGCTGAGGAGACCTGTCCACTCGGGCTGAGGCCCGGTGCCATGTCGTATAGGTTTTCATGGTGAGAAAACATTGTGGAACACTGCTCCCCATCCTGTGCTGCGCTCCGCCCAATCTCCCCAGCGCACAGCTCCTGCTGCTGGCCCAGGGCCCGTCCAGGCCCGTTGACAGGGCAGGGACTGGGATCTCAGAAGAACTGGGGAGTATATCTCTGTGAAGATGGGGTGAGGAGGTGAGGCATCATCTTTTGAGGGCAGGGTCTGGGGGCGGTGTTGGCCCTCTAGGGTGGATCTCGTCCCGTGATCCTCCTGCAGCCACGTGGGCTGGGCCAAAGCCACGGTGCTGCCGCTGTGGGCTGGGGTGGCTCCCTCTGCTCAGGTGTGGCACTGCAAGCCTGGGCTTCTCGGCCTGGGCTCTGTGTCTCCATCTTTAGGACAGGCTTGTGGCTGTGGGTGCCCTGAGGGGCCCTCTAGCCCAGGGTGCTTCAGGGGCTGCCCCACAAGTGCATGTGGGGTGCTAGTGCACGGCCATGCTGCCCGGGGGCCGGAAGTCCAGGCAGCACTGCTTTGGCTCTGAGCCGCCCCGAGGGCTGGGGAGACCTGTCCACTCGGGCTGAGGCCCGGTGCCATGTTGTATAGGTTTTCATGGTGAGAAAACATTGTGGGTGTCAGCTGGGGCTGGAGGAGACCGGAGGACGAGGCAGCAAAGCTGACCTGATGGCGGGTGGGGGCCACTGTGGCTTCCCGTTCCTGCGGGGCTCGGGGAGGCACTTGTCTCCCTCCAGAGCTGCCGTCTGTCTGCCCATGGCGGGCCAGGCCTGTTAGCAGGTGCGGGGCGCATGCCGCCTTCTCCCCAGACCCAGACCCTCCCCAACCTCATGGAGACCCTGTTCTCTGGTCATTCCCTGTCTCTGAATGCCTGGGGCTTGGGGTCCATCTCCTTTCCACACAGGCCTCCCCAAGAGGGAGGGTGCTGCGTCAGAGGCCTCAGAGGCTGGCCCTGGGAGAGGTCCAGGACCCAAACAGCGCCCTCCCTGTCCCCACATGGCGTCCCCCCTGTCCCCACACGGCGTCCTCACTGTTCCACTGGCCGAGGCTCTCGGGTGATTCCAGAGGGTTCCTCAGGTTGGTGGTCTGCCTATAAGTCCCCTGACCCTGGGACCCATGCTGAGACATCCTTGTGGGGTTGAGTTCCCTCCTGTTGCACCCCGCGGTGGCCTGAGAATAGCTTGCTGAGGTTCGGTGACCCGCCTGGGCCAGCACAGTAGAGGCAGAGCCGTTCTTAGACCTCTTTTATGACAGTTATCTCATGGAAACCTAAAACCTAATTGGGCAGCTGTGGCTCTGTGTCATGTAGAGATTGTCTGGAAGAGATTTGTCTCTGTGCTGTGGAGCAGGGCGGGTGCAGCTGAGGAGCCTGGAGGGCAGGAGCCCTTCCCTTGTGGGCTTGCCCCAGTGGCGTGGGGGTGATAGAGTTCCAGCTGCTGCTGACCCTGGGGACCTGCTGTCTGAGTGGCCTATTGTGACGGCTCTCTCCCGCCCTGCACCGACCTGTGAGGCTGCCCTGCCCTCTGGGTGGCTGGGAGGGCTCCAGGGAGGGGTGGACGGCTGACCCGGCTGTAGGAATGCCAGGTGGACACTGGGACCCACCTTGGCCTATGATGGGGGCCCCACCGAGGAGAGTAGGGGTCTGTGCTCCCACCGAGGGCCCCCTCTGCTTTGCAGTGCAGTGTGGAGGCAGTTTTGGTGCCGCACATGCAAAAGCATACATGCACCTGGCGCGATTTTCTGATGGTAGGAATTGATAAGTGGTTTTATTTTGTAAATTGACAGGACAAAAAACCCTGTTTCTTCTTGCTAAAGTTTCATGATTTCATGTTTGGGCCCACCGGCGTATCCGGAGGCTGGGCCAGTTGTGGCCAGGTCAAGAGTCTGGGTTGGAGGGGGGTGTCATGTGTCAGCTGGTGTGGCCATGTGGACTTGTCCCCATCTGTCTAGTAAATTTCCATCTGCCCTGATGCCAGCCGGCTTTATGACATGCATTTGGAAGGTGTTAACAAATGGGCTTAAGACTTTTCCTTTGGAAGGTGTTTTTTAAGATGGGAGTCTCACTCTGTGGCCCAGGCTGGAGTTCAGTGGCGTGATCTTGGCTCACTGCTACCTCCACCTCCTGGGTTCAAGCGATTCTCGTGCCTCAGCCTCTGGAGTAGCTGGGATTACAGGCGCCTGCCAGCACACCTGGCTAATTTTTGTATTTGTAGTTTGCCAGGCTGGTTTTGAACTCCTGACCTCATATTATCTGCTTGTCTTGACCTCCCAAAGTGCGGGGATTACAGGCGTGAGACACTGCACCTGCCAGAAGGGTTTTTTTTTTTTTTTTTGGCAGTTAGAAGATTGCCTCCCAGTCCCCTTGCCAGTGCGAGTGTGGTGGAGTCCCTGCTCACCAAGGCGCCCTGTGGCCATGGCTCCTGCAGTTCCTGGGTGGGGTAACCATTCCATGTAGCCAGCAAGTTTGGGATGCTTTTTGTCTAAGAAAAATTCTAACCTTGTGTTGAAGCCTGGCCTCTCTTTTGTTGAACCCTTTGAGTTATTCAGGGGCTCTGCAGTGGGGGCCGGAAGTGAGCCCAGGGCCCCGCCGCAAGTGTGAGTCCAGGAATGCCAGGGCCAGCCGTGTAAGGAGTGCCAGGGCCAAGCCTGGTCCCTCGTCCAGAAAGCAGGGAAAATGCAGCTGAAGCTGCTGACATACAAACCCTTTGTCTCTGTTCTGTATTCCCGCCCAACTGGTGGTGGTGATTTTTAGTTGCTACTCAGCATCATTTTAAGTAGGAAAAAGTTAGAAATACAAGTTATTACCATACGCGTTACTATTAATCTTTTTTTTCCTTTTTTTGTTTTTTTGAGACAGAATCTCGCTCTGTTTCCCAGGCTGGAGTACAGCGGCATGATTTTGGTTCACTGCAACCTCCACCTCCCAGGTTCAAGCAGTTCTTCTGCCTCAGCCTCCCGAGTAACTGGGATTTCAGGCACCCGCCACCATGCCCGGCTAATTTTTGTATGTTTAGTAGAGATGGGGTTTCACCATGCTGGCCAGGCTGGTCTTGAACTCCTGACCTCATGATCCGCCCACCTCTGCCTCCCAAAGTGCTGGATTCCAGGCGTGAGCCACCTCACCCGGCCTACCATTTATCTTTTCCTTGTGTAATGCCAGTTTAAAATACAAATGCAAGGCCAGGTGTGGTGGCTCATGTCTGTAATTCCAGCGGTTTGGGAGGCTGAGGCGGGTGGATCCCTTGAGCCCAGGAGAGCAGCCTGGGCAGCATGGAGAAACCCATCTCTACAAAAATACAAAAAGCAGCTGGGAGTGGTGGTGTGTCTAGTCCCGGCTACTCTGGAGGCTGAGGCAGATGTTGCAGTGAGCTACAGTTGTGCTACTGCATTCCAGCCTGGGTGACAGAGTGAGACCTTGTCTCTTAAAAAAATAAAATGCAAATGTAAGAGTATTTAACTTGTGGAATCACAAAAATTGCACAGTTCGTGATTTGTAAGCCAAATACGCATGTGTGTTTTACCCTTACCACATCAGTGAGAATGCCGCCGCACAAAAGGAACTCGTCTGTTGGAGTCAATGTCACTTGTTCATGTGGCTACATGGCCCTTGTTCTGAGTGGGGACAGACTGTGTGTGGGGGGCTGTGAGCGCCCCACCCACACCCCAAGGCTCTGTTTGTGGGCTAGTGGGAGAAAGTGGGTGGGAGGAATGTGACCTCCTCCACCAGACACTCCCCATACGGGTTCCAGAATGACGGTGGGCTGGGAGTGACGGGGCTCGGGAGTGACGGTGGGCTGGGAGTGACGGCGGGCTGGGAGTGACGGCGGGCTGGGAGTGACGGCGGGCTGGGAGTGACAGGGCTC